ATTTTGGCTCAGCCAGGATTTGACCTCTGTCAAGCAGTCCATCAATATCTGTAAAGAGTTTGCATTGGAATTGAGAGGCAGATAGATCCGTGCATCATCTGCATAACAATGGAAGGGGACATTGTGTTTTGTAAGGATTAGGGTAAGGTTACAACAATATCACAAACATGTGTAGAATTGAAGTGCAGTAGTGGAGGATTGTCAGTAACCCATACCAGTGTTTTAAAGTATTTTCTTTTATATCATTTCCAAAATGCACGACCCCCTTGTATCTCCCCAAACAGTATGCCTCGTGGGGTTAAAAAACAACATTTTCAATTTGTTTAAAAAACGTTCCTGATTGCTGCACTAAAGCAATCTACAGCGCTGCAGCAAAAACTACTTTTTAAATTTTAGTTAAGAGAGACAACATCATAAAATAAGAACGACATATATTCAAATATTCGTGGAAAATCTCAATTAAAGCTAGAAAGTAAAACAGAAGAGACATTTGGTTCAGCTTTAACGTCACCCCTCTTAGAGGAGGACATAACGGAGACATCGCCCACCTGTTCGTCTTTATTCACGCGGGCTAAAAGCTCTTCAAGCTCGTTCGGGCCGAACACCTCTCCGGCGTAGAAACCCATCTCCAGTTTGCGTTTGATGGTGGAGTTCCAGTGGTTCTTCACTGCGTTGTCCGTTCTGTGGAAATAAATATTGCAACATGAGTCACTTTGGTAAGATAAGACTTTATTTACACGGAAGGAAATTGTTGTGACAGAGTTACAAACATACAATAAACACAGCAGCACAATTAATAACAATAAAACTGTACGCTAGCCAATTCAATAACTGCAAGAAACATAGACGGTCACATCATTAATATTAACAGTATTTATGTATGCTGCTGCATCTTTAAAAAAAGGCCTCAATATTTAAGAGCCAACCCCAAATCCAACTCTTTATTCCTCTCAAAGACGTGTTGTTTTGTATATCAAGAATTGGAATTGTTAAATGATGTGTGTCGTGAACTCTACACCATGTGTGTTTTGGTTTAGCGAATTTTATTAGAGTCACAAGAGCAGAGGTGAGAAGAGAAACAGTTACAGAAAAACAACAGGTCACATAATTCCATTTCAGCTGTTGGAAGTAGTGGAGTACAAATACTTTGTTACTGTACTTAAGTACATTGTTCTGGTATCAGTACTTTACTCCACTACTTATTTTCTTGACAACATTTTACTTTGTTCTACATCTTACATTTTGAACTCAAATACCTGTACTTTCTACTTCTTACATTTTGAACCCAAATACCTGTACTTTCTACTTCTTACATGTTGAACACAAATACCTGTACTTTCTACTTCTTACATTTTGAACTCAAATACCTGTACTTTCTACTTCTTACATGTTGAACACAAATACCTGTACTTTCTACTTCTTACATGTTGAACTCAAATACCTGTACTTTCTACTTCTTACATGTTGAACACAAATACCTGTACTTTCTACTTCTTACATTTTGAACTCAAATACCTGTACTTTCTACTTCTTACATGTTGAACACAAATACCTGTACTTTCTACTTCTTACATGTTGAACACAAATACCTGTACTTTCTACTTCTTACATGTTGAACAATAATACCTGTACTTTCTACTTCTTACATGTTGAACACAAATACCTGTACTTTCTACTTCTTACATGTTGAACACAAATACCTGTACTTTCTACTTCTTACACTTTGTACACAAATACCTGTACTTTCTACTTCTCACATGTTGAACACAAATACCTGTACTTTCTACTTCTTACATGTTGAACACAAATACCTGTACTTTCTACTTCTTACATGTTGAACACAAATACCTGTACTTTCTACTTCTCTCATTTTCCTTTAGTCTGAATGTGTGTTTGGTGGCGTGATCATTATTATTTAGAGTCATTGCGTGCCTATTGATTTGAACACGATCCGTGTATCCATCATTTCCTGGTCTTCTCTAAAGAAGAGGGACCAATGGAAACGTTGTCATGTTGCCGTTGTTCAGCATGGAAACATTCATTAGCTAACAATGACATTATTGTTCTATTAATATAAAGGGAGGTCAGGTACTCTTTAAAACAGCTGCTAGTTATGGGTACTTTTTACTGATTTACATTTCAAAGACCATACTTTTTTACTTGAGTAAAGAAGTTTAGTCAGTACTTCTACTTTTACCAGAGTATTTTTAAACACGAGTATCTGAACTTCTACTTGAGTAAAGGATGTGTGTACTTTTGCCCTCTGCGCACAAGAGACTAAGCTAAATACGTTTTGACTGATGTGACGTATATTTACCTTCCAGGGAGCAGCTTGGCGATCTCGGCCCAGCGGTTTCCCAGAAGGCAGTGGGCTTTGTAGATAATTAGATCCTCCTCTGCCGTCCATGATGATTTCTTCACGTTGGGGTTGAGGTGGTTGTGCCAGCGCTCTCTGCACTGCTTCCCCAGTCTGCCCTTCAGATGCTTGGCTACCGTGGCCCACTGTTTGTTTCCGTACAGATTCACAAGCTCTATCACCTGAGGAGCGAGGGGTACGAATGTCAATAACATTGTGAATTTAGGTAGGAGGTGCAGGCTTCAAATGTGCCACGTGGGTTTTCTGCCGCCTCTTTCTGTCCTCGATATTATGTGCTATCTGTTATGTTTGAAAATGTTTACATTGTGCAAAAAATAATAATAACCGTAGCAATGGAACATTGTCATACCTTCTCATCTTCCTCTTTGGTCCAAGGGCCTTTCACCAACCCTGGATCCAAGACTTTAAACCAGCGGTGCTGACACTGGGGTTCACTGTGGTTCTGAACAGGACAAAAGCAAGCTTTAAAACACTGACTGAGGCCCTAAAGTGTACAATCAACACAGAAAAGGACCATCAAACTCACTGGTATGTTGTTGGCAATTTGTTTCCAATCATTAGTCCCCAGCTTTTGAACCAGCGCCTTGAGTTTGTCATCCTGTAAAACAACAAACAACAAACATGTTTACACTGCCTGTCCTACAGACACTGTTTACTTTCACAGGGTCAGGAGATCTGGAGACGACGTGTGAAATGTTGGGACAAGTCTGGACATTCACCTCCTCCTGGGTCCATTTCACCTTCACTTTCCCACCGTCACCTCGCTCTGCCATGTCAGAATCGGTGTCTTGATGCATGGCTTCCTCACTATCCTCGCTGAAGAGACACAATAAGTGTTATTTGTGACAATTAAGCTGACAGTAGGAGCACGAAGGAGCTAGTAACCTGCCCTGATGGTGGGGAGACTTGATTATCAGGTTTATTGCTATGTTAAGCCAGGGATAGAAGAAGTACTCTTAATTACTTCTTAAGTAGAAGTAGTAAAAAAAAAATATTAGTATTGTTGGGAAAATACTGAATGTACTTTTCAAACATCAGCTCACAAGTATTAAGAAATCATTTAAGTGCCAAAATGAAAAGTATGCTCAATGCAAAACGGCCATTTTACGCCCTAGATATTACAAAAATACTTTGTTAAAGTTATTGTTGCATTTATATGGGTTCATCACTTTAATTGTGCACTTGTTAAATGTGTAGTTAATTGGAATTACTTGAATATAGTACTGGATAGCTTAACCAATAATAGTTTATTACAATGTATGTCGATTTATATTGTATATGAACAATCTAAATGGAGTACAAATCACAACATTTGCCTACAACATGTAATTAAGTTAAAGTATGAAGTGGCAGGAAATACAAAATAAAAATAAAAGTAAAATACTTGTAAGTAAACGACATTGTGACATTACAGCTACTGTGGTTAGCTAGACCCTTGGCTATGATCTAGTATGCAAATACTGTTATATAATGTCAGTACAGTATAAGACAGGTGTATTAAACTTATGGGATTTAACAGATGGCATTAAATTAAATACTCCACCCTGTTTGCCGGGATTTTCCGCGAAAAAAGGCGGCATATAAAGGAGTCCGTGAAGTACTCACAAGCACACAAATGGAAACCTATCATAGTCAACTTTATGTATTTCCTACTGTAATGTCATATTATAACACTAAGTGATACAATTAGTAATCATAGTGCTACTGTTGATCAGGAAAACTAAGATGCCCATCTTACCCGCGCAGCCACCGAGACATTTCCCTCTGTTTTTCTGTTGTTTACGATTTTTCCAGGCGCTTCACGACATGTGCATTAATATTTCCTGATATATCCTCGTATTATTCCGCGTTTTTGTTGTCTATAAGGGGGCTTCCAGTGTCGGTGGTTGGAGGCCCGGTACTGAGGTGTTTTGTTGGATGTAGGGTTGTTGCTTGTGACCAGCTGGAGGAGAGGAGCCCGGGTTTTGAGATCCGCGCTCCTGGATTTCTATCTCCCGCCCTTCTCTTTGGTAGAAGCCAGGCGATGACGTAGATGCGCATTAGAGCTGCGCATAGGTTCGAGCAAGAAGATGGAACGCTTCCGGTGAGGAGCTTCAAAATAAAAGTGTGTCCGCCTTACAACAATAAATGACATTATCCTGTCAATGTACAAAGAAAAAGGTCTATGATGCAAACCGACTTGTATATATTTTATGAAAATGTTGAACATTTAAATAAGTAATTAAAAGCCATAAAGAACACTCGCTTTAGTTGGGAGCTTCAAAATAAAAGTGCGTACAAATATTTAATAAAAGATCAGAAGTGATCACGACTTCTTTAAATCCTAATCTTATTTCCCTACCAAATGACACAATTATTTCTGACCTGAAAAGCCTTTTAGCAGCAGTCTCTCTCTCTCTGTGATACCCTGCTGCTCTGGAACTTTTTAAGGAACTTAAACTGATGCATACATGCCTGTGGTGAGGGCTAAAACTCTGTGAGAAGGAAATAACATGTCTGAGGAGCATGTAGAGTTTATATCAGAGGAGAGAAAGCTGCATTTATGCTACACATTGCAGAGGATCAATATTAAATGTATCTGCACCAATCTGTATGCTCCCCTCCCCCCTCCACCTACAGACTGATGACCTGTTAAGTCTCCAGCTGGGCCAATAACAAGCTGCCTCCAGTTTAAAACCCACCTGGAGCTCACACTCCCGTTGACACTCACTGACCCAAGGAAACAATGGAAGAAGCTTCTGTAATCAAAGGTAAGAAAACTGCTTTTTATTCTCAAGATACATTCTGATCAGATGATGAGATTCTAAATCAAACCTAACATTTCCTCCAAGATATGCAAAGCTTCGAGTGTCCATCTCCACTGGAGCTTAACAGGAATTTTTTTGAGGAACAGAGTGGGCTGTCTGCTTTGTCGCTGGATCTTTCAACGTCGAGGGCATCAAACGACAGACTTGCTGACGGATCTGACCCCCGACTGTCCATCCCGGCTTCTCTCTGCCTCTCCTCGGACCCCATTTCTCCCTCTCTGGCTCCGACCAACGCTCAAGAATCTGACGGCTGTTACCTGGCCGTGCCTCTGCAGGGAAAGTCCTCCACTCCCTACGAGCTGCTTCTGAAGAAGAATAAACAGCTTGCTGTGTTGGATCAGTCGTACACAGACCTCACTGTCTCTCGAATGTCCTGGGATGTGTCTGGTATTGCATCTGAAAACAATAGTCCGAGATCCATCATGGCGTGCAGTGCTCTGGAGGCAACATGGAGTCCAAAACCCCAAACGCAACCTTCAGGAGCCGATGTTTCCCCCTGATGTGGTCCAGAGAGTCCTTCAGTGAACACACACTTGGTTTTTATCTGCACATGGCTGTCTCTTCTGCTCCATTGAGGATTATGTGAAGGTAAGATGCTCAGTTTGGATAATAACTTTTAATATTCATACAAATCCATGTTCAACTTTTCAAATTCTTTCTTTTACAGGATCCATGTGTGGGGATGTATGAGAGCCCTGTGCCTTATTTACTATGTGTTTAAAGATTACAATTAAATAAATGTATCCATGACTTTATTTGCATTGAAGTGTTTTTTTTTCAAAATGAAATTCAATGGAAAGTTATAAAAATATCTTAAACACATCTGTACCTAGTTGATAGTCCAGTGCTAGAGTTATGATCCCCCTTTGTTCCTGAACTCATCAGCTTGGTCATGTGACAGGGTGTTGAAAGGCAGAGATGGAATATCTTGAATCCAATCACAACGGAGTGAAAGGCGTGTCTGTGTCGGCGTCATGCTCCTGAAAGAGGGACATTCATTGTTAGACCATCGCTTTCAGAGCCTATACTTTAGTGTAAGAGTTTTAAAGTTCTCACCTGATTGAGTTTCTTGAACTCTACCACCTGGAAGAAAATGTGTTCCAGGATGTGCTTGGCATCCCTCTGCTCTTTATCCAGCTTTGGAGTCACACCCAGAATTTCCCCGCATTTCCGCACGTAGAATTCCAGGTCATCATCCGTACCTGTAAGCAGAATCTGTTAATACTCAGGGTATATGCAGGAGTCCTGAAGTCAAATGTAAGACCTTTTTTTAAGACCCTTTCCATACATTTTAAGACCTCATCGCCACTTTGAGTTTAACCGGTTACCTTGGCAACACACTTTACCTGACATTGACTATATACAGTATTGATTGTCCTTCCTCCTTATCTTCCAACCATTTGGACGCAAACTTGTATTTCCCCATAACGATGTTGTTTAACAACCGGCGTAAACGGACCTTTGCGCGCTGAGAGCGTGCGATGTCCTGTTCAGATGACGTCAAACCCAACGGGATGCCATAAAGTACACAGAATCACACTACACACCTACGCAATGATTCCATTCAGGCAGACTGTAGAATACAACCTCTTTGGACAATTTATGTACTTATTGAAAACAAGCTAAAACATGTAATACCTTGGAAAATGCTGTTACTTTTTAATAGGCTCACTTCCTTACAGAGCCCCTCCTCCAACACACACGAATGTGCACATGACCAATGAGGGCACGAGATAAGTTTGTGCACAGATGGAAGGCTGACAGGCAGGTAGGCCATCCAGTTACTTTAGCCGGGCCGGCTCAGGTGATTGGTTGTGCTTTTTAAAGTGCCACGGCTTCCACAGATGACATTTTTTTTTAATGGATTTGTTGTCAAAGCACTTCAGATATTCATTGCTATCGGGATGTTAAGAGCATTCCATGGAATATAACAAAGTGTATCTCGAGCCGGTTTCTCAAACTTACCTACTCCACCTTTAATTTTCACTAAATTGATTTATCAACTTGTAATACTTTAAGACCCCGCGGACACCCTGATACCTGACGGATGTAACTGTCCTGTTTTAATTGGAATACATAACTTGACTTACATTTATTGGTGAGCTGTGCTAGGCGCACTTTCTCCGAAGAGAACGTTTCATCCAAGTCGAACAGGTCAAGCATCGGGGGGGGCAAGTCGCTTAAGGCAGGTGGAAAGACCTGGAGGACAAGAAAACACACACATTGTGGAACTCATAACATTTCATTTCCCTTGAAAGACACCTATTCTAAACAGTGGGACATCCAATTATTGTTTTATTAAAGCAGGTTTAGGTGCTATGAAAGAACGCAATGCAAACAGACCATATTCAGTGACTGGTTTAAACAAACTTTCCACCTTAAGATTGTGATGTCAAAACTAGCATTTTAGACAAAGGGTGAATACATTATGAGAAGAATGTGTTTAATGAGCATTAACGCATGTAAATCTGGTCTAGTAGAACTACATTATAGGATAATATAGCGGTGCGGTGTTGACACTTTTGTAGGCCGAACAGGGAGTTGGCATTGCACAAGTTCCAACCACAAAAAGCAATGGGATCTTTCCATTTGCTTTTGTAATTTTGCAGATAATTGTTTTAACGTCACTTTTATATTTTAAGAATAAATGCAATCGCCATAAGTAAAAAGTTAGAATACAAACAACTACATCACAGCATGGCTTTGTCACCATCGCCGAGCTAAAGGCGGCTAATTATCGGTATAATGGCATTTTACCAGTCTCATTCAAAATGTCCGCTTCAAATCAATAACCCACTTGATAATCAACTTTTAGCGAGGGAACTGGAAGGGCTACAATGCTGGCTCCTTCCTGTGCCACTCTACATGCCTCCTTTTAATATTGGAGTTGTATATGACTTAAGAATTGACCTGCATGTATGGAAAACAGATATCCTATGCACCAACTCAGCAGGACTAAAACTCACAGCGGGTTGGAGCTGAGGCAGCGGCGTCTCAAACTGCGGCGTGATCAGCTGAAGAGGCTCGTCTTTGACATTAAGCTGCTTGTAAGCACTGTGGAAAACATTAACATTCTCTTAAGCTGTGAAAGTAATGAATAGCAAAGCTAGGACTGCCTTCTTTTGTGTATTTTGCATTCTCACCTGATGACTTGGGGTAAGGTGTCAGTTGACAAATTGAACAAAGACATATCAAAGAGCGAGGTGAAGTCCCGGGGGTTTTCATCGCCCTCCTGTAAACACACTCTGAGCTGATCTGACAAACACCCCGTGTCCGGCAACATGGTGTAATCTGTGATCTAGGGGACAGGATGGATGGCTTATTTGAATAAAAGACAATACAAGTGATGCCATTCTCCTGTCAAGTCTACGGTACTTCCTCACCTCTGGGTCTTCTGCATCGATCTGATTCAGCTGAATATTATCGGCCATGAGCAACTGGAGCAAGACATCCTGGAAGGAAAGTAAGACAGGATATTGTCAGAAATATTTGACAGGTCCACAAGAGACCCTTCTAATTTGTTACATGACACAAATGATATTAAAATGTCTACTAAACTCACCATGATTTTACTGTTCTCCTCTTTGTCTATGTACTGGTCACTGAACATGTGGCAGGAACCCAACACTACCAGTTTGCCAGCCTCCTGAATAAGACACGAGACATCTTTTAACATCATCTCACAAGTGTACATAATGCTTTAAGGTCTGGGAAGGAGTGTGAAATCTACCTTTCCTTGATGGAAGGCCAGGACGGGTCTGTTGAGGGGGAAGCAGACGGAGCCCGTTGAGAGCAGAGCCACAGCGGGCTTTATCACGCTCAGTGTGGCTCCGTACGGATACACAAATGTGAGAGCCCTGCACAATTAAAAACAGAAAAAAGTGTATGTTCAAACGCCCCTTCGAAAACACTAAAATGTGTTTTATTGTAAAAGATAGTAAGTAAATCCTTTACTGTGCATTGTTTCCAACTTTTTCATCTTCGATGCTGCCTGTGACCACTTTTCCAGCAGCTCGACTGATCTCTCTAAACAAGAAAAAAGACAATTGTGACTTTTGTGATTCAAAACTATCTAAAAGGGAACAATTGGATGTTTCAAAGTGGGGTTGTACGAGGTACTCATCCATAATCAAGTGTATTTCCTTCAGTGAATGGCGGTTGGCATGCCCCTTGAGATCTTCATTTAAAAGGTTAGCATTCCACAAGTTACCTCATAAGACCTCCTAGATGTGATGCGTGATTTGAGGATATTTACGTCCTACAACCCCACTTTAAATACTACAAACTACTTTTTTAGTAGATTTAGTACAATTAAATTTGAAAACATATAAACAAACAACAAACACGCTGCAAAAAAATCAACAAACCTGTTCAGTACACCATTGGACACAAGCGCCTCCTTAGGGTGGAAGTATTTGTAATACACATTCCTCACAACAGCATCTGCAGCAGTGATGAAGAGAAAATAGATACCACAGAATGAAATCAAATTCAAACAAAAGCACCCAGAACTGCATAAATGATGTCATTTCAACACATTTAAATATGCACCATTGTTGACCATTATCCCAAACTCCTCCAGAAGAAAGTTGATGTTAGTATCATATTTCATTTCTCCGCCTTCCCCGAGCATGACCAGGACGTTTCCTCCTGCGTCCAGGTAGTGTTTCAGCACCTCCAGCTGAAAGGAAATGGGACAACACTCTAAAAAACATGCCTTTGTGTGCAGGAAATTAAATCAGTGTACACAATGTCAATGATGAGGTGATTTTCCCATCTCCCACGCCAACGTGTCTGTTTTCCCTTTAAAACACCTATGATAGTTGCTCTCTCTTTCGGTACCTCTGATGCTGTGAACTTCTCCCTGGGACCTGCAGTTATCCACAGCTTGACACCCTTCAGCTTCTCCAGAGACAGTTCTTCCTTCAAACTAGGGGTGACAGCATTTATTTCACTACTGAGTGTTTTTCTCAAGATTATTGCAAGACAATTCATTTTTTTATATTCTAAGCCAAAGCCAGTAGCACAAGACAACATATATGGTTATTGATAAACAAGCAACATTACCTTTGGATTTTCCATTGAGCTCTGAGTCTTTTCTGCATGGTTTTGTATCCATTATTCGTAGTAAACAGCTCTCTCTTCGAGACATTGAAGACGACAGTGTTGTGTTGTTCCTTCTCCATTCTTCTTTATTATGATTCACTCACCGAAATAGGCTCTTAATAGCATCCATACAACCTAGAAACAGGTTGTAACTCCAAGTTAGATCAACTAGAAGTACGTATAAACTGCCCTCGATACATTTGCTATCTTAGCTAACTATGCATTGAGTTAACAGGTTTACTCGCTAGCTATATATGACATTTAGGTAAATAATCGACCAATATTAACTTGATAAAGTTGTAGTAACGTTAGTAGGTCCCTGAAATAACCTAAGCTAGCATACTGTTAGCAACAAAGCTAGCTCCTTCAATGTTATGTTACGTTAGCCGTGTAGAAATTAGCTTAGCGTCGTAGTCTCACGTTCGCGGTTGACGTCTGCTATGAATGTGTGTCTCTTCTCTGTATTTCAATAAATAAAAAGTTGATTTTCAGTCTTTTAAAAGTGATATTAGAGGGTTTTCGTTCCCAGGTTACCTTGGTCTCCTAGACGTGATGCATGATGGGAGGAAAGTGGTAACTAGGGGCGCTAACCACATAGCAACCAAGCAGTAGGGTGTGTAATTTTAGTATTTTGATACTAACGTTGATACCATAGAGGTTGATACTAATAGAACAACGAAAAGCTATAATACTAATGTCCTACTAGGAGGACACACACTGATGCCTAATATACAACAGCATCTATGTGGCTCCTTGGCTCACATTTGTGTGCATTATGGACGCCATTTCAAGTCTGCCACCTTGTAAAATGAACTATTTGTGGCAGATTCAAAGGTAGGCCTACTATTGATAGGGAACAATCTGTACAGTTTTGCTCTGTCCTGCCCCACAATCATTCTGTTTTTCAGTCTCTCATGAAGGACCAGACTTTATTTTCCAGGCTGTATCTACAGTATGTTGCTCTAATTTAAGTCTTCGTTGATGGATCAGATTGTATATTTTGTTGAATGTCCCAATCCAGTTCCAATTTATAATTCTTCATTAAATAACTTTGAGATTCAAACTCAAGAGCCAGGGATATTAGCCTTTCCAAAACATTATTATACATTATATATAAAATAATGCATTGGCGTCAATTGACCTCAAATAAGCAATTTCTAACAACTACAGAAGGACTTTTTACTCATATTTTGCATTCGAAAAAGGTGGGTTTTCAGTCTGCGATGGAGGATGTGAACACCTTCTGCTGTGCTGATACTTGGAGAGCTTGTTCTGCTATTGGCACAGCATGCCAGTAACAGTGTGTTGAGTCTCCACTGGTGAATCAAGATATTTCCTTTTCTGCTTCAATTAAACATGCAGATTAAGGCATCAGGCATGTGCAAGATAGGCGTTATTCCATCCAAGTTACTACCTTGTTGGACCTTTTCGACATTTAAAAAATGTTTTACCAATGAGAACATCCAAGATAACAGCCAAGTCATTGCGGTAGAATTCAACTAGAAATTGTTTAATTTCACAAACTAGTATGAGTGAACCTGCAGATCAGTTTTGTGGCTATGCAAAACAAATGACAAGCGTTCACTCATTATAACATTTTCATTATTTATTGACTGGAAATCTAATATATATTAAAAAAACGAATAATAGTTATTAAATTACACATGTATGTATAAAAATCAGAAAACAGTTATATGATTAATTTAAATCTGATAAGTAAGTGCTTATAGTTTGCTGGGCCGTGTGACTGGCTTCACTCTCAGGACCCCCTCCTGGGAGCACGAGGCAGCGAGGACCCCGTCCCTCCTCCACAGCCGCCCCTGCACCAATCCCCTGCTGCCGCCTGCAGGAAACAACACACATGCTCAAGATTCAAGCCTGTTATTGTCATTTGTACATAGCTACAGTGTAGATATGTCAATGAGAATCTTAGGTCACAGGCTGGGACACTCGATCTGGAGTTATGCTATACTGCACATATAACGGTACACTCTTATCGTACTTACTTTTTGAGCATATTTTTTTATAGTGGCTTGAAATAGTTATACATTTCCTCCTATTTTTTAAACAAATTAATTCCCTTGACTGTATTTATGAATTCGAAATTTTACATCAAAGCAAATTCTTTGTAAGGGTTTAAAATACATTAGCATTTGTTTCCATTACTTGAAGCTGTAATGTTTATGTTTGTTGAGCAAATCATGAAACTGCAAGTCAATCAAATCTGGATCCAATCAAATTAAACTCTGTAGAACTATCTCCAGGTCATAGGTGATAAAGTTCCTATAGTGATAAAGAATGTGTGTTGTTCTGACAGAAAGCCCAATAGGGGGTCCTGACACACTCACCTGCCCACGGGCTCTCACACTCGTACAGCATCCACTCGTCGCTGCGGAAGGTGCTGTGGAACCACATGGCGTGGTCCAGCGAGGCGGCAAACTGAGCTCTGTAGCCGGGGTACGGAAGCAGAGCGGTGCCCAGGAACGCAAAGTCTGACACGTAGGCAGCAACGCAGCAGTGCAGCTTCATGTTGCCCTCACCTGCAACAATACACAGGAGTATAGTGAGCACTGCACCAGACTCCATTTAAAAAAATAGCCCTTTGCTTGTCATCAACATTTCATATATTCTCTTGTACATTTTATATTTATCAAACCAAACCCACCACCACAAAAACAAACGTAGCACATCACTTGGTTTTGGCTTATTTGAGACGTAGAGTATATCTGTAGGTTTTTTGTTCTGAGTTTGTATCTTGATGGTTTATTGCCCTTATTGTAAGTCGCTTTGGATCTAAGTGTCAGCTAAATGAATTGTAATGTAATGTCATGTAATGTTTATTCGTTTTTACCAATATATCCTCGTGCTCGCACCCAGAACAGGTTCTTCGGCTCGCTCGCAGTGAGTTTGTAAAAGACCGGGGGGTTGACCGGCTTTATCTCGATGGGGACCTCGTTGGCCAGCAGTTTGTTCAGGCCTAGCTTATATTTCTCTGCCAGGTCTGGTTTACTGTGAGACAGCGGAGAGAAAAGCAGATCATTAAATAACAAATAACATCAAATAGTTCATTTTCTGTTACCGTTGTTGGTGCTATATATTGATTTTTATATCTTAATATACTTACTGTCTTGCTGTTTTTGTTTATATTCAATGTACCGGTATAATTATTTATTGCAATTACTTTAGAACTTTATTAAAGTAGTTGTTTATGCCTTTATTTTGAAGGCAGTTTTGAGTACCTGGTGATCCAATCCAATCGTTTTTAAATAGCACATTTCAAAACAACAGAGCTGACCAAAGTGCTTTTCATCAATACATACAGTATATAAAAAGCAGCATAAATACATTTAGACAAAATCGATAAGACAAAAAAAAAATGTAAAAGCACGAGACAATAAAACCATACTTATCGCCACAGACTGAAAAACCCTCATACATGATGTCAAAACATTTTAAAACACAACAAAATAGAAAACCCCAATTGATGATGGGTATACATTGGAGTCAGGTGCTGGTGGGATTAGTGCACCAGTATAAGCATATGTTTTTTTACCAGGGTGATTCAAGTAAAAGCTATTGGAAAGGCTGCAAGACAAGAATATATAGGAAACCTGTTTATTGTACCTTTGATGATATTGGATCTTGGATATAAATGTATGAAAAGGAAACTCTTGCCTGGACTTTGACTAATTCCCCCTGCGTAGGATTCTTTAACCGGTGCTTCAGCGGCAGTTTTATTGATTCAATTGGATTTCTTTAGGATTTTCGCCGCTACAACCGCACTTATCTTAGCACCTGTTAGAAACATATCACTGGTCCCCGGCTTGAGCTTGAATCTCAGGATCCATGTATCTGTGATCCTCTCCAGAATGGAAGTAGTCATCACATACAGAGCATCAACTAGTTCCTGAACAGTGTCCTTCACATGCTGATATCCAAGAGAGGGAGTTCCACAGTCACAAGATGGAGGAATAGAAAGCAGTATTCAATGTTTACTTCAGATTAGCTCCACGACAGAAATGATCATGCTTGTCATATGTCTCTCTCCATAGAGGCTGAATCATCATGTTAATCACATAGCTATCATATGCCTCAAACAGTCCTGATGCTCTTCTAGGTAATCACACATCCTGTCATGTTCACAGCTACAGTTGGGATACCTTTGTTATCATGATACTCTGATACTGGAAGAGTACATTGAGTAATTGAGACAGCATCTTTACCTGAGATAGAGGCGGATGAGCTCCTCCACGGTGAGGAGGTCTTCGGGTGGGGGGACCACAGGCATGGTGAACTGGTGCTGCAGGGGGCTGGGCTGCAGCATCTGGAAGGAGGCCTGGCAGATGAGGATGGGCTGCCCGTGCTGGATGGCCCTGACGGAGCGCACCGTGAAGCTGCGTCCGTCTCTGATGCGGTCCACCTGGTACAGCACGGGCACCTTAGGGTCTCCTGAAACACACCCAGATACAACTGTGAGGAGACTGCTGATTCAATTGTATTATGTGCTATATATATATATATATATATATATATATATATGCCGTTAATAGCTGTGAAATATATACCTGGCTGCTAAATCCTCAGAACTGTTACAGGATGTGTATTTTGTAAATTGTGAAATTTTTATTTTCTATCAATATACATTTAACATAATTTGCAGGATTTAGGACCCCCCTTTCATATATTCGGTCAGCACTATTGCTGGTCATTAAAACAATGCTACATTTTACCTGCCCGTACAAAGTAGCAGTGGAGGGAATGGGCGTAGAGATTATCGCTGACTGATTTGGCAGCAGCTACGAGGGCCTGACCGATGATCTGACCCCCAAACAGACGCTGACTGCGGGGAATCCAGTGGTGCGTCCCTCTGGGGAGAAATAGAGAAGAATTTGAAATGTATGTAACATAGTCTCTAACTAGATGGTGCTGATGTAGATTTCAAGTTGAGGGTGATCAATATATTTAAAAAGACTGTATTTTCACTTAGCGTTATGAAGCATACAATGACTGAATAATGTAATGCCATAACTATCCTTCAAAAAATGTGTAACAAAGGAAAACTTTACACATCACTAGTGTAGGTGGAACTTATGGGATTCACTTTCTTTAATCAAAAGTACAGAACTTTACCACAAAAGACACTTTAAGTACAAAGGGAGTTATAGGGATGGTTGATATGGATAAAATAAAATATCATTATATTTCTTATTACAATATCATTGCATTGTGCCAAATGCAAATCATGTGCCACATCATTTGTTTAAGGGAATATATACATCAACTGAAGTAAGTATGCCGCATTTATGGATATTGGATAGAGGGCAGTTTCCTATATTGTGCAAACGTCACAACAATCATCATATGGAAAATAAAAGTGTGTTAAATTACAATAAACACCTGTTTTCGGCTATTTGTGACACATCCACATTGAGCTGGTTTATGTGGTGTAATGTAGTGAAGTACATTTACTCAAGCTACTTTATACTTCTACTTTTACGTTTTACTCTACTACCAAAATGAGTTACTAGTTAGATGCATATACATAAGCTATGATGTGTAAAGATATTGAGCAGCAGAATACAAAGTAATGAAATTAGCACTACCTTTACTGGTCAGCTGTGATGAATACATGAATGCATGAGTATTAATAATCCAGTCATTGAATATTTGATCCTGAAATATGGGACATTACGCACGGCACAATAGATATTGAAGTGACTGTTATTTTGTTGATTGTTGTGCTTTTATTTACGTCTTAATGTGTGCATATGTATAAATTTGTCTGTTGATTGTGTATATATATATATAGGTATATATACATATTTTTATACATATTTGTATATATATTTGTAATTTTTTGTATTCGTGATAGTGGGAAACGGTATTTCGATCTCTGTCTATACACACAAACTGAAAGATTGATAATAAAGTTGACTTTGACAAGAAGTGCTTTCACTTTTGACGCACTTAGATATCCAGGGTTTCCCTAAGTAGAAATTAGACCTTGAACG